GTCATAGAAATCCCGGTTGAAAGTTATAAATTTTTTCTAAGTCACAATTATTAATATCTGGCAACAGTTAAACTTATATCATTTTAAAATTTCATAATGTGCACGTGAGGAGAAAGAAGTTTAAGGGTCATAACCTCGCCCCTTGCGTCTGGATTGTCCTTTTTTATCACTCTAATCTTTAAAGGGTCGAACTGGAGAAGAACGGTTCTGATTTTAAGCCGAAGTGTACATGTATGATGGAACTACACTTGAATAAAATAGACTACCTTGCCACAGCTGTATCATTCGTTGACTTCGTTGGGATACACCAGTGATTGAACAGTTCTGGGCTTACTGGCCTGACGAATAAGCCTAAAAATGAAAAATTCGGGCGGAATACTTATCTGCAATGACGGGGCGTAGCCAGGGGTACGTTTAAGACGGAACCAAGCCAAAGAGGGAGAGACTGGAGCAGGGCAATCCTCTCGTGAAAACTGCAAAATTTTATGTTTCTTTTCATCTTTTGCCATCTTCTTGATACCGTAAAATAAAATTGACCCTAGGGTTTACTCACTTTGCTCGCAAAATTTTCCTCTGAAACCCGCTGCACAGACGCACGTTGAATCATTACCGCACTCTCGAGCTCCGTGCACTGGTTGCCAGGTCCCTCCGTCCTTACATGGGTTATTAAAACAGGAAAGCTATATGGAGATAAATGCAAATTATTTGAACTATTCTTTAAAGCGATTCAAGGCAGTATGGAATCTAAATTAACGTTGATGATATTTTATAATGATATCTCGGAATTCACAAAGTACCCCCAAAAAAACCCTTGTTTTTATGGTTACGGCGGCTCAACGACTTTTTACGATCCGATGTTAATCACGAGCCGTGGGAATTCATTGGCCGATTGATATTATTCAATCAGTATCTTGTGTAAACATTAGCAGCTGAATGCATCAGTAACTTAACACTTCTGCAAGCGGCAGTAATTCTGGGTTTTTCTAAAAAATAAAACTCGAGGAATTTACTGCTGCATACTTCTAATTTCACTCAGTAAAGAAATAAAATTGCGATCACAAAAAAAATGCTTTCTTCTTTCGTACTCAAGAGACTGAGATATTTGTTTCTAGTTGCTAGCAGAAGAAAACTCTGTAATTAAAGATCATGGCGCTATGATGCAAATATTTAAAATTAAGCAACTGTGAGTCAAAACAGTGATGTACGAGTGGAAATCGATAGAATCTGACTTGACCAGGCAAAGAACGGTTTGGATCGTCCCGTTGAAATCAATTAGTACCATTGTTTCCTCTGAAAAAAATGTTGATGAAGCCAGTTCAAATGATTACAACTTGACTTCTTTGCCAGTTACCATACACTGCATGCGGTGAAGGTGTTATGTTTCAAAACAAGTGAAATTCTAGTATTTCATTAACAGCTATAACAATTATAATACAAAGCTGAGGAGGAGATGTACAAGTTATTTATTTTTGGAGAGAGAGTTAGGATTACCTCGACACAATAATAATGCGAACTTTTGTTTGCCTTCAACTTGTCGACGTTTCTGTATTTATCAGAAGACAGCAACTCACACCAAAGCTTTCCATCTCTTCCTTTGGACGGGGACATGTTTACAGAAAGGCACAAATGACTCCTGCGGCATTTAAACAGGCACTCCATTTCGTCCATTACGGTGATTATCCCAACATGAGGAACATTAAGATGATAATGCTTGGTTTTTGAAAAGAGCCGTTCTTCAAAATTCCCCCCTAAAATAGAGAAATTCCTATTTTAAAGGTGGCAACGAAGAATCAGAGAAGTATGATAACCCATCAACATCCTATTTAAAATTGTTTCATTTAAGGTGCAAGTGATACTAAAGCATCAGCATCAATAGAATTACTAACCTGAGGAACAGTTTAAGATGGTTGTCAAAACGTAAAACAATAAGCAGGCATAGCACTTCTTTTCTCTACGCATGATTGGACTCAAGCTTCCTTTGGAAAATCGCCGCCTCCTTGGATATGCTTGGATCACGAAAGAAGAGGCTACTACACGATCTGTAAGAATTCAATGTTTGAACGATAGACAGCACTTCCGTCGGTTTAGCGGCGTAATAACCCACGCGGGATGTTGGGAGAAAATCAAAACGGTACGTAGACAGAGGCGGGTGATTAACAAACTTTTCGAGTGTTCTCCTAACATCCCAAATAGGTTATTATGCCGATAAACCGATAGAAAATAAGCTTTATTCCTTTTATGAAATAAACTAATGCGAAACACATTATTTCTCGGCGAAAATTTGTTTTTATAACCTGATCAAGTTGATTCTTCTTTTTACATTCAACAACTTACGCACGAGGACCAATCTTAAAAATTTTACCATCTTGATCAAGCCGAAGAAATAAGCTAGCGCTGAATTTTCTCAAACCTTTCCATAAAACGTGAAAGAGGATAGCAAAAACCAAAGTTTTCACCGCTTTCTTTGAAAAAGCAATGTTTTCTGTTTTAACAGAAAAGACATTGCTCATTCATGGGTAGTAATTGTGGATGTGTGCATAAATTGAAAATCTGACTGAACGCAGCTGTGTTTTGTTATGTGGGAAAATTGTTGGACGGAACTTGCAACAGTTTTATAGCGGACGCCTGCTTGTGTTACCCGCAGCTAGTGGATCTGCAGTTGCCTGGTCATCACCAAGAGCTACTGTAAGGGCCTTACTGCGGGTGCAAAACTGTTTTACGGAAAGCATATTGTCATTAGGTGGTGGCCTACGACCGCGGTGCACTATTTTCACACGTTTCCAACATGGCGGGGTTACCATGTGGTTGCAGCGTTTCGAAGAGAAAAGTTCAAGTCCATTTTTTTTCACAGTGCCAAGTTATGCCGACTAGAAAAACTAGGAATCGGAAGATAAACCCTCACTCAACAACTTAAGGCTACTGAGTTTTAGATCTACGATTGATATTCTTTTCTGGAATAAGAAAGAGAGGACCTATACTCAAGAGTGTAATTCCCTGTGAATCGCATCCCATTCTTTTTTTTTTTTTTTTTTTCGCTTTCTTGCACCTGACCAAAAAGTACACCTTGTTAATCCTCTTAGATAGGACTAATCATTAAGTACATCGCACCCCTGCGCCCCTCTCAGCGTGAATTCGGTAACATAGCCTTTCAGTATAATAGAAACTTTGACAGATTTAACTAATAATTGTTAATTCCTGACTTAACCTGAGCAGCAATGAACAAAAGAAGGCATTTTGGCAGTATAAGGAATACCCCAGGCAAGACAGCCCCGAAAAAAGGCTGAAACGAATCAGCGGAAAACAACGTCGCAAAAGAGAAACTTGAAGGAGTTTATTTTCCAGTAAAAGCACCTCTTCTAGTACCATGTGACCCGGAGAATGATAAAGAGAATAAACTTCAGCATTGGTCGAATATGTTGCCCTGAATTGGGAAGGATCACACATAAAAGGCAAGCAATTTCTTATAGAGAAAGTTTCAAAGGGATACTTGTGCTAAGCTTATTGTGGATGCCACTTCTACTACCTTTTTTTTTTTAATTTCCATGCCTGCTCCCTTTTGCCCTCTCTCCAGTGCTGTGTTTTTTTCAAAAGTTCCCCTCGCCTTCTGAGATTAAAGTTTGGGAGAGTTACAAGATTTGGTGAATACATCGATAATGCGAAGAATCGGAGCGCAAAATTGGAACACCTCAGCTGCTCACAAATTTGTAACAACTCAGCGGCATTCAGGTAAGCGGCCTCCAGTTTTAAAATGTTGGACCGGAAAACTATGAGCTTATGAAATACCATCGGTCTTCTAGTCTATGTAGTCTAACCCTCCTAGCATTTTTTTTTTCCAACGATCTTTGCGGGAAGGGGAAATTCATTCAAGACAACAAATGGTTTCACGCCTCTGCGAATGAATGGTTTTAAATATCTGGTACCAAATGCCAAGATAACTGTTGTCACGTTAAACTCGGAATAACATAACTTAACTCTTACTGTTAAAAATGCAAAATGCAAGCAATAGCGTGAACAACCGCTTGATGGTGGTTTAATCGATGAAAACAATCTGCATTCGGTCGCTGAAATGAACCTTTCGGGTTAGCCTTATGTAGCTGGTTAGAAGTGTCTACAGCAGCCGTTCTCCCTTTAATCTCCCTCTATGGAAGCTAATAAAAGTTTCTTTTAAAGCTCTTTTAAATTCACTAAAAAACTATTGACGCTCATATTAACATAAATGCCAGGAATTCATATCAACCTCGATCGCGGAAGGTCACATGGAAATGAGTTCGAAGCGACATTTGCCTTAGATGGCACCGCGGCCTTAAGCCCTCACCGCCAGCATCTTATCTTTACTATTTAGAAAGTGACCATGAAAGAACCTGTGCATCTCTCACAAAGAGTAGGGAACGTAACTACCATTTTTTTTATTTTAGCTTTGATTCCGAAATTGGTGGCCTCCGCAAAAATTTCCCTCAAAAATTGAAAACTGCTCGGTGCCGTCTGACCAAAGTCCCCCGCAAAGTGTCGTAAAGCATCATAAGCTAATGAATATAACGTTATAGAAATCTTTCATCATAATCACATATGCTTTTCCACAGGATTAAAGCCTTTATCCGACCCAACTCAAAATGTGTCATTAGAGACCTAAGTAGCAAGAAATTACACAATGAGACTGTAATAGTATTCATAGTTAGAGACGCTGAAAAATCGGATGGTAAGACATATAACTGATCCAGAAACACTTTTCCTCTCTCTTGAAGTCTTGAGGTTTCTAAAAAAAGGGGGATAATTTTGGGAATTTCCCTTAATTTTAATGTAAGGATTTTTTTTCTCTTTTTTTAACTTTTTTGATTGATGTATCTAGATAAAACGATCTAAACACGGTCGGTGGTTTTTTAGATAGATCTTACTCTCGACAAATACTTCCCATTGTCTGCTGTAAGCATCAGCTTGCCATCGGACTCTGTGGCTACAAATCTCGTGGTACTATCCTTCTGACTTTTTGCCATCTCAATGTAATCAATTCCCGATCGATGTTTACGACTGAGATACTTGCCATTGTAACCTTTGAAGGCTACAACAACTGGCCAGAATCCTAGAATCAGGCTAAGAGTGACATCTAAGATAATATATGGGGCAAAAGAAAGAATATTTTCAAAAACCTTGTTTTGAAGTAAGTTACAGTGAACTTACATTCATGGGGCGTAGCGAGGGGTACGCTCAAGACGAAAGCAAGCCAAAGAGCGAGAGAATAGAGCAGGGCAATCCTCTCCTGAAAACAAGGTTTGCAAATCTGCAAAATTTAACGTTTCTTTTAGTCCTTTTATTCTTTAACTGATAAATTAAAATTTACTAGAGCTTTTCTCACTTTACTCGCAGAATTTTCCACTGAAACCCGCTGCACAGACGCACGTGAAATCATTACTGCACACTCGGTGCACTGGTTGCCAGGTCCCTCCGTTCCTGCACGGGTTATGAAGACAGGAAAGCTACATAGAGTTAAATGCACGTTATGTAAACTACTCATTTATCTCGGAATAAGTGATAAAAAAGCAACTTTCCTATCAAGTTCATCTAAAGGAAGCATTGAATCCAAATTAAAGTTGTAAGCTATCTAGGACTGCTATCAAGCTTGAATACAATAGAATAGTGCAGTTCTGACATCTACAGGGAGATGTGCTCACTTTGATTGATAGTTGTACAAATTTTCGCTATTCTCTTTAACCGTTTCTAATTTATTCATCTTCCATGATCACCTCCTGCCATTAGGATATCGTCCGTCTTTAAGAATCTACAAATTCACTCAAACGCTCAAGGAAAAGAAATATAAAGGTTTGGTAAAAATTAAGTTTGATATGAAGCATCAAGAAGCCAACATTTTGAGTTGAAAGGAAGTTTTGGTTCACATCTTTGAAGTAAACGACTACGGAAACACCTATAAGCATTAAAAAAACCAATAAAAGAGCAGTACCGGTATCCAAAAGCTGTTATTGGGTTGCCTTTCAGTGTGCACATTCGAAATAGTGTTTTCAGAATGATATTAAGAGAAGCCGAATTCCCTACGATCCTTTGCTTCAACTTGAATAAAAAGTTCCCATTAAACACCCTCAGTGGCTGAATACCATATACTTTATACTCTGCCTTTGTATCCCTACAACGTGCTGAAGGGATGTAGCGTCATGCGCTGAACATCAATTTGAAAGCTTTTACAGTGGCTCCCTGGGCATAGCGAAAAAAACCCGCCATTCTGTAGGATAGAATAATGCAATCTTAATGCCTTAATGAGTTATTTGGATTAAATACGTTGGTGCTATAATCTGCAGGTGTTTAAACTTTCGCATCGAAATACCGACCATTAATCTTAAGATGTCAATGTTTCTTCAACTGCAACGGGTGAGAATTTCCAAAGCCGAAAATGACAAATATTTTCTGTTGCATCATCATGATTGCATCATAATCATTTGACCGTATGGACAGTATTTTATACTCTTGCTTAATATTTAATAGTGAAAATCTTCGGGTAGCTAATGTCTCTGTTCAAAGCAAGGGTAGGTCTGTATCTTTTATGACAAAACGTTTTTTTATTGTTCCGATTGGCATAAGACACAATTTCACAAGAAAGGTCCGTACTTCACCTTGATGCAAAAGTCTAACAATTATCTGAAGTGTGGAAATGGCCCATTGAACTTGCTGAGTTTTTCTAACAATTCCCAATGAGGATCCAGCCGGCTCGCCAAGGTTATTACTAAATTTCTTAGCCTCTTTTTTCTCTCCTTTTTGATTCACTTCCGAACCATTAGGCTGACAATTTGCGTTACTCAAATCCGTTGGCCTCCCAAATCCAGTTATGGACGGAAAGTGTTTTTACCTACTTATTCATTTACATTTTCCGATTTTAAAAATATGGGAAAGTAAGAAGATGGGTTTCCTATCATATTTGAAAATCAAAAATTTTCTGATGCCTTCCTTCAAAAGTACGTATATATGATCAAAATGCGGTGCTATGCTTCACCTTTGGCCAGAAAGTCTTCTTAAATAGGTTGGAATTTTTGTGTCTACATCGACGATGCGATGCGTATATAGTTACAGAAATAAAAGAGGAGAGCACACTTATTTAATGTATCCTACGTGTTTAATGACATAAGACAAGTGATAATTTATAACTTCTTGCGTAAAAGCAAGAAAGGCTAACCGACCAAAGATATCTTCAGTAAGACACATGTCATTTCATGCTACGACTTTGTCGTGAAACAGCCAATTTTTTTTTCGATATCCAACTCAGCACTTTTGCTAAGGTGTAGTCAATATAAATTGCTCCAGAGAGTTAATTGCTCATCTAGAGCAGATCCTTGAGTTAAATGATTACAGAGCTTACAAAGTGAAACAAACTTTGGTAGGGCTAAAAATACGGCTACAGAAAATGAAAAGTGAGCACCGCTAACGTTCTTGAAGACATGTGTTTATTTTGAATAAGTGGTATCTTTCTTAAAAGTCACATAAGTGCATTAGCTCTTATTCTCACCTAAAAGAGGGGCGAACAAAGTCAGAGTGTTTCTAACAATCGCTGTATGAGTAAAAAAACGTGATCAGTTGGTAACGTAAACTGGCAGATTGATCTGCTGCGGCTAGAATTTACATGAACGTCTCACAACTATCGACACCAATATTACTGGGGGCTCGTCTCTGTCACAACAAAATACGTCAAAACTCGAACACGGAGTTATTTGATGACAGCTTTAATTTATTAAAAAAACAGGTCATACCTGTATCAAGCAAATTTAGACCGCTGTAGCTTACTCCTCTTTGTTCTGAACCAACCATATTTTGGTTACTATTTCTTTCCTTTTGATACTCTTTGCATGTGTGATACATTTGTCTATGCCCAATAACCACATATTCTGGTAGAGTATAAGATACTCTACCATTAGAGAACAAAAGTCAGTGAAGAAAGCAACTCTTCTACAATGGTAGCTTATCTTTGTTGTCAATGATGGTAAATGTGGAGAGGTTCGACTGCCTGCTGGATTCACAACAGTGTACACCGAAGTAGATTAAACGTAGTCTTGCGTTATTTTAAATAGCTAACCTGTAGAGATTTCAGGCTCTCTTCGTTAGCTTTCTTAAGTAGCTCTAATTATGCCTTCAATGTAGAAGGAAACATGCGGAAAGATAAATTTAGAAGGGATCAGGATGGTTAACCCTTTCATTCCTGAGATGTCATAAATAATTCTCCAAGTTGTTTGCCGCGAGGCCTCGGCACTATATATTTCTTACTGTGATAATTCAGAGAATTTGGTATTGGATCAACTGATAAATATAATCAACTAATTTATATTTGTCCTTATTTCCCTTTTGAGTGCTTGACATGTTATTGATATTTTAGGGATAAACTCTGTCCTGGCGGATTCCTTACGTCACGGAAAGCAGACGATGAACTTAAAACAATTCAGAATTAATCTTTAAAGATGCCTTAACTGTACAGTGGCTTCGTTAAACAAAAGATACATTCATGCATGACTAGCTCACAACAAATCAGAACAAGTAGACCTTAGATCACAAATTAAATACACACAACAACAACAACAAGCCTTAATACATTTACAATTTTAAATTACATTGTTTTTGTTCATCAGGATTTTGTTTTAATTTTGACTTTGGAAAGTTGGCTATGATCACGTGTGACGAAATTCTTATCGTTAAGTGTTAAGTGTAAACGAGTTCTTGAAGGTGACTGAATGAACACTTCTTTAATGGCATATGAAGAGCGAAAATATATCTAGATATGCTTGATTAAACAAATAAGAAAAGAGGGTTACATAATATCAAACTACACTCTAAAATTCTTTCGTTTAGGATTTATCTTGTAACTGAAAGTCAAGTGAACGAACTATTCGCTGTAGGAACTGAATAGTGATTGGTGAAGTGTCTCTTTCACTGCTTCTTTGATCTCGGTAATCTTCCAACAGTAAACAAAATGGTTTAATGATGAGTTAAGATAAACTAAACCAATTGTACATTGGGCTACGAGAAATACAACTGATGTCATTCCCTTGTTAAACCACAAAGCGCTAATTCACCATAAAGTAAATAGCAACCGACTAAAATCACTTGAAACTGCACTACACCATACACCGCCGTTTTGAATCTTGCTATTTTCAGAGAACTTGTTGGACCCTGTGAGTGATTTTGAAAATGGAACAGCACTTTACGGAGTGTGCAGAATATACTTGTGTAGCAAAACACCGAAGTAAGAAGGCAAAGCAAAACTGCTAAATAAGTGCCTCTTAGTGTTAACATTCAACTAAGCAGCCCTCGATGCTAAGCAAAAAAATGACATCTAACCCGGGTTCTACCCCTATGAATTGTCTGTTTTATTATTGCTACCTCAACAATGGAGAGTCAAATCAAATTGCCTATTACGTTGAGTACCCCCTGAGCTCGCGTTCGACCACCAAAGCAGCAGGAGGCCTTTTTTATTGCCTTTCTCAACCTGGATGCCGCGTTTTCATTCAAGCTCCCATTTGTATATTGACAACAAATAGCAAGTAAATAAATGACTTTATTTAACCAGGGTAGCCCATTTAGCAAGGAGGCTGGTATCCATAGGGGCCCTGGCCATTTTAGGGGGGGAAGGGAGGAGGGAGGGGGGTCTGAAGATCCCGTACCCTATTACGGCCTAAAGATCCCATATTCCATTAATTCCTGTAGCTTGTATCCCTACAATTTTGGTACGATATCCATGAATCCATACTTTCAATATCCGTAACTCGAAATTTTTTTTTCCCGAAGTATCCCGTATCCCTATAATTATTAACCATGTATCCCGTATCCCGATAACCCCAATTAGGATCTCAATATGGGAATTGGACAGATAAATTCTATTCTGTTACACACTCTAATAATTACTTGACTTTTTTATATATGTGCCGCCTGGTTAGCTCAGGTTGTAGAGCGCAACACTGGCGTGCGGAAAGTTCAAGCCCCAGATCGTACCAATACTCAGAGTCTAAAAATAAACATGCTCTCATAAAGCTTTGTCTTCTGCAACTGGTTAGACGTTCTATAATCTTGTCGGATAAGGATGACAAACCGTAGGTCCTAGCTCGTGCATTTTTACTGTACAGGTTAGCTGGGACGTTAAAAACCCAAAGAGTAGGGAACGTAGCTCCCGATTTCGTAGGGAAGGCTTGTCTCAAAAACTTTAAAAAATTGGGGATAATTCCAAAAGTTCCTCACAAAAAAACTAATCTGCAGTCCGTAAAGCGCACAAGGGACAATACGCTCTTTAAGTAAAGGTAATCACATGATTTCAAGTGCAATTTGGAATAAATAAGCACGGGTAAATTTTTTCAAAGACCAACAAAATTTCACGAGCTTGTAGAGCGAGTGCAATTTGTGGTCTTTGAAAAAATTTACAAGTGCTTATTTAGTCCAAATTGCACGAGAAAATCATATGATTACGTATTAAAAATATAAATGAAAAATTCGAGATAGCTTATCATAATTATGCAGAAGCAAAGGGCGTGCAAGTGCAAAAATAATCTATTCAAACTCTGCGAGTAAATTGTGCGTTCGGTCAAAACAACCGCGTTCGATCAAAACATTAATATACAATAATATTTTCACATCTTTAAGGCGCAAAAAAGTTCAAATTCTGGCTCAGCAGTTCAAGGAATTGTTCAGTCTGCTTTGTTACTTCCTTGCACTAAATTAACCTACTTCTGCATTGATTTACCTGAAAACTACATTTATCTTAACCTATCTGAACTGAGTAATTTTTTCATGTATCTTATTTAGTTTATAAATGCATCAGAATCATTAAGAATTGATGTCTCAGCTATTTCTTCTCTATTTTAGTAGAAAAACGTTTAAAGCAGACGAGCTTAAAATGAATAACCTAACATCACAATTGCTCCACAATGTTTTCAAGAGTTTTCCCAAAGGGCTGACAAGGAGTTCAACAAACACTGAAGAGCTTCTTTCGTTGGCGGTAGTTTCCTTTACTCTAGTGACCTGAATGTTTGATTTAAAGGTTTTAGTGGATCAAAAAAGAGATTCTAGTCACTCTAAAGAAATTCTGTGTTACGAGATCTTTCATCACGACCTTGGGAAATGAAAGGAAAGTAGAGTACGGACTGAGTCTCATCAAACGTTCAGTTTAGCATTTGTTTAGGTAAGGTAACAATCATCTTGTACTTTGCTGCTCTGGAACCTACCAGTACACTTCTCCGACAGAAAATGCTTGCAACTAAATGTTCGCACACAATAATGAATGAATATAGTGGAGATAGTGGAGATAAAGATAGAATAGACGAACCTGGGAACAGCTTTTGTTTTTTGCTGCGACTAAATTTTTTTAACGAACGTACACTTCAAGAGCTAACTAAAGAAGATTGTCGAAAGGAAGCAGGTGGCGCGTAATACAGAACATATCGGTTAACTTCTTCGCATCAGCCAATAACATTTTGTTAGAAAATAAATTATTTCACAGTTTTTAATACAGAAAGAATTATTTTCTCGATATTAACTTAGGAGCCGTTGCAGCAAGTGACAATTTTTATCTTTAGAACAAGAACTAAAAAATTCTTTGTTTCGGGCGATGCTGTGTCGTGCACATCCGTCAATCAACTGGAGTTGACTGATAGCACGCGAGTTAAAATGATTGATAGTACTATGCTTTATCGCAAAATAAAATTCACAAGTTACCTGAGTCTGTGTTCCAATACCTTGCACTAAAGCAATAATTAATGGACACTTCGAAAGTTCTTGGCAGACACAAAACCTACATTATTTTATGAAAATTCTTCAGGCAGATAAGCAACTAACAGCAAAAATTCTGCCTGATTGTTTCCTTCACAGCCTGTCGCACATCCCTTAACTTCCAACAATAAAGAAATGGGTTTAGTGTCGAGTTTAAGAAAACCAGAGTTAGTGAAAAATATTTGCTCAAGACGACAGATGGAGATAGCTTCTCATCCTTTAGGAAGAAGGTTGCCCACACCACGTACGGTATATAGCAAACTGTTAAAGTCAACTGCACCCAAATTATACCAGACAGGGTCTTCCGATACTTAACTACGTTCTGTGGGATTGTTAAGCTCGATTGACGAGCAGTTTGTTCCACTTGAGTTCGATGATGTCGGAGTGCAAGGAATATTTTCGAGTAAAAGGTGCCCGAGAGTACCAGACATAATAATGCGGTTGTGGAGCTGGCCCATAATGTCAAGACTGAATTCCAAAAGTAGGTTGCTCCGACGAAAAAGGACACGAGACAAAATATAGTTACAATAAGATATGTTCTTTTCAGCGTTACAACTTGTCTGTATCTCAAGCCCAAAAGCAACGCGAGAAGCCTGTCCGTGGTTATTGCAGTCAGCGTCAACAAAGATACTCCGCTTAACGTGTACCCAGCTACAGTTATAGCAGCAGAAGCATATTGACAAGTGTCCCAGTGTTCATTCACTGCAGATAACAAGTAGGTCACAAAGAGAGGCTGCGCTATCATACCAACACAAAGATCTGTTATTGCCAGACAACGTAATAGGACTTTAGATGGCGGATGAAAGCAAAATACCTTTTGAAGAGAAACCAAGATCATGCTATTCCCTAGAAGAGCCGAAACGGATAAAAATATGTTGACCACCGAAAAACACGTTAACTGGAAGTGTATCGAGCCAGAAACATCTACAGAGCAGTACCGATTTTCATACCATGGTCTATCTTTTTCGGCTGTGAAATTTTTGATCGCCATTCTTTTGAGTTAAACAACGAATGCTGTTTTGGTTGGCCTAATGAAAAATACGCATGCAGTTTCATTCAAAACCCCTATTCAACCTTATTTACATGTCTAATCTTACTTGATCAATTTTCTGTCAAACATCTGTCAAACGTAAACGAAATCATGACGTTGAATTGAATGTGGATGAAAAGTGAAACGTGAACCTAAGTTTCTTTGAGCGCCACTTCATTTTCTATGATTACCATTGAATTAGGTATACGTTACAACTGGGGCGTAGCTGTAAGGTTTTTTAATTTCTCGAACTTAACCTATTTAAATCTCAAGGTAAATTAACATTTTAAGTTTCATAAATTTTTATTTTGGCTCAATTTAGTGTTAACATAATCCTTTTTTTAAGGGCTACCCCATACCTTTCTTCGTCCCAGGGGTTAATGAAAAGAGTATTCAAGATAATAACAAAACGGGTATGTAACAGACCAACGGACGACGTCATTTGTTCTAAAAGTTTTTTATTAAAATGGAAGAGAAGCGCTTCACCTCAAGACATCTTTCAATAATTAATAAGTTTCTAGCGATAATAATTTGCATAGTTTTGGCGAAAGTTTCAAAATTGAGTGATCGATTATTTGCCAAAACTGACATTAGAGAACAGGAAATTGAGAAAACAAAAATACATTTTCTATGAAATTTATTTTCAGTCAGGATGAGAGAGAATTGCTAAAGGGACAATATATATAGAAACAAACTGGGCTAAATATTCAGGTTCACTGTCAACTCGTCTACACAGCAGGTAAATGTGCGTCTTTAATTTGTAGAACAAAGGAAGACACACCATGATAGGCCAAAACTTTTGTTTTATTGAGCGTTTAGATAACACACTGAGCGTGTTTTGCAAATAACACTTAGAGTGCGATGAGGAGCAGGTGTCGTTCTAGGTTATGTTATGGCTATTCTTATCCTTTTCAGACCGAGATTGCATGTTTAAAAGAGATTTGAGCATTAAGGAATTTCTAACGTTACTTTCAACAATTGAAGTAAACTTTGTTAATTAGACGCATTTTGGGTGTAGGCAAGCGCTTGTAGAGGTAAAATCTACACACGATCTTCATACCTTTTCCACATTTATTTTCAGTAAAAGGCATCTGAAGAGCATTTGAAAAGCGCCTGAAAATGTTATCCCTTCCAAATAGCGCTTCTATATCACGCTTTTTAACTCGATTTTTAAGCATACGTGTGAACAAAATCGAGCTCACACATGTGCTGTATAGTCTCGACGGAGATTTATGACTAAACTTAAAGAACCCCGAATTTTGATTAATTTAGGGGCGCCTACGTAATTGTGTAAATAAAGTTCAACATGAGACAAGTGGGAGGTAAGAATTCTTGTCATAGAAATAATAGAAATGACAGAAAATGGGATAAAGTTAATTTATTACAGAGAATCTTAATTTTAAAAGCTAATCACTTTAGGGTTGAAACATATAAATATAATGATGTAAGAAAAACCATCATGAGATACTGACATATACTTATTTGTCACCAGGAATTATGATTTTCAGAATAAATATGCAAACAAACTTCTGTTTAAATGAATAGTGATCTTGGCAGTAATGAACGCTACTTAAGCGCTAACGAAAATAAAGCCTGAGAAAAATTCAGGCCTGTATGGGATTTGAACCCATGACCTCTGCGATACCGGTGCAGTGCTCTACCAACTGAGCTAACAAGCCAACTAAGAGCTGTTGATCGCGAAGAAGATAGATGCGCAAATCAAGTGATCCATTGAAGAATATATGTGTATTCATTTCCTTATTTTATTGGCAGATTTAAACTGCCTAAGATGATATATCAAGGGACAAAATGTTATGGAGTTTGATGGATAGTTTGGCTAAACATCAGATTTCAATAACAGGTGATGACTCTCTATAATTGGTAGTGAGAGACAATTGTTAAAGAAAGTTGATTCACATGGCAATTGTAAGAGATTTTACCTCAATTTTTAGAAACTAAAATGAGTTAGATATCCAATTATCCAAAACCATTTTTGGCATTACTTGATAGTCTGGCAATCATTTATCAATTTTAAAATCCAGTGACATAGAGAAAATATTTTGGTAAAGTTTCTGCATAGCCCCACAATACATTATGCACTCAGTTCTTGAATAAAGAAAACAATAACAAAAACAATACATCGCTATTGGGAAAAAAGATTTGTTTTACAATAGTATAGGGCTTTGTGGAAATTTTACCCAATATTTTATATTGATTATTCCTAGTCCTCTTTGAAGATCTCATGGGCAGATTGACTTGGTACATTTACTGGTTCTGTTACATTTCTTTTACGGCTTCACTTGTTAAATTTTGTGCCATTGTCTCTGCGATGGAAGTATCCTCAATTTATCAAAAGCTGACTTGTCGTTCATTAGAGATTTTTTTAAAAGGCTGGACTAAAGGACGTTATCATTATGAGAGGACAACTTGAACTGGGATGCTTTCATAATGCACTTTTTTCTCGTGAGAACTAAAATATCTATTGACGAGGACGGCATAGCTTTCAATTACAAGTTTATTAGTTAACTCAAGACTAGATCAGCCTACGGGAGCCAACACTGTTAACACATAACTATGAAATAGTATTTAGTGAGGGAACTCCGAATCGGCTAAACGGGAACAGTTTTTCTTTTTGTTGCGATAACACTTTTCATACAACGTCAGAGCTAACTGAAGCAAAAAAATTGTCTGCTTGAAATAAGCGTGGACTCATCCACTGGATAGCAATGTATCCGTTGGGTAACGTTATTCGCTCTTTGAACAACTGGACCCAGGTCTAAAGGAAATAAATCTCGACAAGTTCAATTGGTAGTAATATACAGTTGAGAAATAAAATCTTTAAACTGCATGGAGAGAATGAATTTACATATTTTAAAAACCCAAAGAATCAAACACTCCTTACAACATTACAATATGTAATAAATATTTGGTCTTAGTACTCATTTTTGCAAACGTGACCACTGTAAAAGGGGAGCTATGTTAATCTGTTTCGTGAAATATTCTTATAATACTTCTTGAAACATTCTGATATTTTAATTGCACAAGTCCTTTTCATCATCATTTTATGACGTTAGGTGCTTCAATAAATCAAGTCACGGGCACTTAAAACTGCCTGAAACCACGTGTGAACAGTTTTACCTCTGGGAATCACTTGGTACGGTAATAATGATATTCGCCGTGAGGCCTCTTGAAATAAGCAGCGACTTTTCTATATTGTAAGAGCTTACAATGTCCGAGACCGAAAGGTGTTTAAAGCGTGGCACCCCATGAAAAAGGCTCACACACTTCAAATATAAAACTCAGGGTTCTCTTTTTCAGCATCGGTAGCGAAAACAGCTGCTATTCCACTCTTTTATGGTCTAAGTTCAAATGCTTCTCTCCTACACCATATCAGTTTTGTCTTCACATTGAAATTTTGTTTGCGTAGAACCAAGAATAGCAATGGAGTGCTTCCTGCCGAGTGACTTTGTAAACTGGGCCTCCATTCTGACAGTTATTTCCTGGAATACTTCGGGAGACTCGCCATGTTCTTCTAAGGTGCACCGCACCAGCGCTTTCAAAAGATCAAAACAGTGGATCAACTCTCCAGCACGTATGGGAATATTGAACTCACGCAAACGAGATTCATTTGGTTTAGGATGTCTGAAAGGTTTGTCCAACTCATTAACGAAGTCCGACAGCTGGCTTAAAGGGATGAATTGTTTTCCATTTGGCACAAATGCAGCCCACTTAAGATAGTACCTCTCAAAGTCCTCTTTAGTGATAGCAAAATCGTCGTTCTCATGTGCACGGTTGACGTTCTCGAGAATAACAGCAATGTACATGTTAACAATTATCATGAATACGACGACAATATAGCTGATGAGATATGCTGGGGCTCCTAAAGGCTTGCCGCAGTCGCCATTGGGATATCCTTCATAGTAAGGGTCGCAGTCTGGTGGCTGAATTGATAGTGAATTCATGACGTCATTCCAGCCTGATCCCGTGGACAGTCGGAACAAGAGCATCAAAGAACTACCAAACGTTTCAAAATTGACAATATCGTCCAAGGTTCCTTCCTTCTTTACACGACCAAATGCGGACATTCCAATGATGGCGTAAATAAAAATGACGAGAAACAATAAAGTTCCAATGTTGAATAATGCAGGTAACGAGATCATTAGAGCTACCAGAAGCTGGCGAATTCCTTTAGCAAATTCTAGGACCCGCAGCAGCCGAGCGATTCTGAAGATTCGCATCACACGCAAGAGACTTGGATTAACCACTGTGTCTCTGACGCTGACTTCATCTAAAACCACTCCTGTGACACGAGATATGCTTTATCGTTATTGGATGATATGTACAAAGTAATTATAGTTGTCTTGACGATAAATTCTTTTCAAAGGGCTTAACTTTTTTAACTCTCACTTGAAGTCTCTTCACTGAGAAGTGAAAGGACTTCATACCCTTGCTAGGTATTCAAACAATCAGGCTTTGTGTCTGAGATAAGCACTGCCATTTTTATTATTGGAGAAGAAAAACTTTGAGTAAAACAAGGACAGGTATGAAAACCTCCTGAAAAAGCCTTCCTCAGTCTTGACAAGGAAGAGGGACATCTTGTTCCCCTCCCCAGTCAAGAGTGGGCCAAAAAGCCGACCAACAGTCATTGGAAGGAAATAATAAGCATTTTAGCCGTCAATAAGCTTAAAACAAGCTTCCTTGCTCCCACCACCCCTCGCTCCTCTCTAATAAGTCCTCCTTGTTCGTCGGGAAGCACAGGAATCCTTACCGATTAGAGATGATATGACGATGACGAAATCAAAAACATTCCACGCCTTCCTGAAGTAGTGCTGTCGCAAAGCAATTAGTTTCACCATGGCCTCGGCAGTGAATATACCAGTGAACACCAAATTTGATATCCGTGCTAGCCAGAGGCTGTAGTCAAAGAAACTATACACAAAGTAATTTTGTTGATCGATACATCCTAAGTCAATTGTTTCGGATATAAAAAAAACTCTGTAAAACTTTACTATATTCATATTGTCCTTTAATTTTGATTTTATTTTTGTTCATTTATCTTTCTTTTTCTTTATTTGTTTCCCTACTTATTTGTTTCTTCGTTTACTTCTTTGATTTTTTTTCATAGACCCGGTAAATTTGATCAACGTCACTTAGCTAACCCCTCAGTCTGCTGTGGGTTTGTTTCCCTGTCATCCATTTAGAATCCTCTCTAAATGAATATTTTAAAATTAGCCTTTCATTATACGAGGTTGTAAATACAAAGGATATTTAAGACGCTAGAGAATTCCACGGACTGTCCATGATGTTGTATCATCATCATCACCATATTGCATATTATCACCGTCAGAATCGCGATCTCGAACTTGTCTCCTGTGACTACGTCGTAAAGGAAGGCACGAAATCGATCCTGTTGAGGGATTGATCACAATCACAAAGTGTCTAGTGACTTAAGTTTGCATAAAGACTAAGACCAAGTTGATATTTAACACTTTCATATTTACCTTTGGTCTTAATCCTTTCGCTGGGGGCTTTTTCTTAGCTGCTTCTTTTAGGAAGTTGACCCATTTTCTTTGAGTCTCTGTCAGGAACATTCCCATGCTGCTAATTTCTTCATACTGTAAATTTCAAAGGTTAATAAGTTCGCTCCATAATAATAATAATAATAATAATAATAATAATATTTAACGAGGGAGCCCAACTCGCCATGGCAGTTTTCATTGGGGCACTCGTTAACTAATTAACTCAATTAATTACTTTAATTGATAAAATAATAATAGTAATGATAATAATAACAATAAAAATAACTAAATGAAATAAAATAAAATGTGTTTATAAATAAATTAAAAATTAATCAAAATCTTTTAAAAAAGTTTTCAGCTTGGATTTAAAAATAGACAAGAGCAGTTGAAAGACTGTTCCAGTCTTTCGCAGCTTGATAGATAAATGTTTGTTTACCCCAGTTACTTCGAGGAAGGGGTAAACAAAGATCATTGGAACGTCGTGTGTTATATGAATGGACAGTTTGATTTTGATAAAATTATAGTTAAAATCAGTTTCCCCAATCAGGCTTTTGTGGATTTCAATGTAGCGATGAAAAAACCTTCTTTGCGGAGAGTGACTTGAGATCTAAACTCCTCAGTGCTTTGGTTGACGAGTTCGGGGTGGGTGCCCCGGCAGAACTTTAGCAGCTTTGCAAGTTCACTCAACCACTTTGAGTTTTTCCCTTCAGGTACATCATGTTCTAGAGTCTTTCGACTCTTCAAATTCACCTTACGATAAAAACTATTTAAATTCACGCTTTATTCAGATGTGAGGTAATGTAAAGTCAGTTATATTATCACATGACCCGTACGACCCCGCCCACGCAATCTCATACAAAACCATAACTAGGGCTGCATGTATAGGGCCGGACGGGTTAACGTGAGCCGGTCCGGAAAAAGGCCGTCAGGTACTGCACTCGCAATGCTTTGTTGCAAAATCTTAAAGGACTGACCCTCCTACATAGTCAATAAGTACATAATTTTTTTTTTGTGGTAAGAGGTTCGAGTTTACGAAAGGAAGCTTTCTTATTCATATTGTTTAGGTTAGATAATTAAGAGCGCTTGTCTGTAAAAATCAGACAATTTCTAAATTTCGCGGCAAGGGTGAAAAATTCGATTTCTTTCTTATTTTAATATTAGATAGGCCAGACTATAACTAAAATCATTGGATACTTTTTTTGGCAAAATATCTTTTCATTTCAGAGAAAATACAAATAACAAAATTCCGTTAAAATCGTCATTTTTAGAAGCAAATTATTGCACAAGTTTGAGGGCTTTGCATTCAAAACCAAATCACAATCTCGTCTTTTTAACACTCAAATCTTCTTTTTCAACCTCATAGGACCTCACAAAACGATTTTTGTATACACTGCGTTCCTCTTTGCGTGTAAAATAATTTAATTTTGAAAGCATACATTTCTCTTCAGTTAAAGTACTTTGTGAGCAAAGTTAATTTTAAGCATGTGCTAAACCTTCAAATGGATTAAGCTTTGGGCGGCAGAATAACGAAAAGATGTTCTCAACATTACTGTAAAAATTTGTTTGGGCAAATGATTGAGAGCGATACGAAAGCTTTTCAAAGTCCGTTAAAATGCAGTTATTTGACCTTTCGCGGTCAACATTCCAGTCGCGAGTCACACACATTCTTTAATATAATTCAACCCATATGACGCCGGAAAATGTACATGGGTACACATTTCCAAATGCTCTAACCTCATTTGCCTTAGAAGAAAGATCCAAAGACCATTTTACTGTGGTTATCTTGTCGCTCGTCGTATTTATAACGTCCGATGAAACTGCCTGTCAATCTGCGAACTGTCACCAACCTTCGTTATAAAACGTTTGACATCTTTCTGCACTGTGGCATCTTATCCAGCGGTTCAGTTGACTGTGAGTGTTGTTCGGTTTGTGGTGCTGTAGATCTGATCGATGCTTAGTAGCACTTCACATATGTTGCAGTCAACGTAGTTTTGTATACGGAGAGTCGTCACGCAATGCAAATCATACAATGGAAAGTTGTTTTTTAGGGGGTAGGGGAAGGGGAAAGTAAAAAGACGTCACTGCTGCTAAGCTTTTTTGTTGTAGTGAACATTGAAATCTCTTACATGTAAGTCGCGGAGATCGGGCCTTTGGCTAATACTCGTTGAAAAGCTAAATTTGGCACCTGCTAAAAATAGTAAGCCTGAGTAAACAAAACCTAGTTTTTGGTAATTACACGAAGCCAATTGTTCGCTTAGAGGCGGAGTTTCGGACTGTTTTTCACAAATACACAAACTTACACGGTCAACTTTGTTACATAAAAAAAGGAAGGTTGTTGTTCGTTCAAGTCGCTTATTGGTGGAGTTTGTGGTTACAACACTAGAGATCGAATGCGTAAAACGGAAATTGTTCCTTTACTTTCATGCACCAAGAATATCGCAAGTCACGAGTCGGCTTTTAAATTTACCGGTCCTGAAGATGAGATCGACCTTATTTTATGCCGAGCGCACATATGTCGGCCCCTCTGTAGTTTAAAGTTTTAAACGGTAGTTGGGTCTGTTAACAGTGGTTACTAGTACCACTCCCTTATGCAAGCCCCACCCATTGGCCACGGAACATAGCATCCCAGCCTCACATAAGCCACACATTCCCACCACTGCGTTTTGTAGCATGGTGTTGTAAAAATGTACAAAAGGTTCTCTTTCATGCTATTAGGGTATTTCTTGCAATTTTATTGGAAAGAAAAACACCCCTAATAAGTACGACAGGCACAGAGCGCCAAAAAAACAAGAATAATTCCCTGCAATAAATAAGAGTATTTTATTATTTGTCACCAGACAACGACGACACTATTATAAAAATTTTTACAAAATAAAATATTTTGTAGGTTCCAAGAGTTCAATTCTGGAGTTTTGCCTTTCACCTACCACCTAAAGTTCCTTTGTCACCGGTATTGCGTGACAAGCCAAATACTCGAAGGGCGTACATGTTTGTAGTCAACTCAGTTTAGCATTGAATTATACTGTCAGATGTAATCTTTTAGTGCATTGTAAACTGAGCAATACTCGCAGTCAACTGAACCGTTGAATAAGACGCCACAGTGAAGAAAGGTATCGAACGTTTGACAACAAGATGGTGTTCGACAAGGTTGGTGGTTTCATCGGACGTTATCATTTATACAGACCTAAATACGACGAACGACAAGAGAATCACACTAAAAGGGTCTCTGGATTGGTCTTCTGCGACAAATGAGGTTAGAGCATTTGGAAATATCTTTCTATGTACATTTTTCGGCCTCATATGGGTTGAAACATATTAAAATATGTGTGACTCGCGACTGGAATGTTGACCGCAAAAGGTCAAATAACTGCATTTTAACGGACTTTGAAAAGCTTTTGTATCGCTCTCAAACATTTGCCCAAACAAATTTTTACAGTTATGTTGAGAACATCTTTTCGAAATTCAACCACCAAAAGCTTAATCCATTTGAAGGTTTAGCACATGGTGAAAATTAATTTTATTCGCGAAGTATTTTTACTGAAGAGAAATGCATGCTTTCGAAATTAAATTATTTTAAGCGCAAAGAAGAGCGCAATGTTTACAAAAATCATTTTGTGAGGTCTTATGAGAGCGAAAAAGAAGATTATAGTGTTTAAAAGACGAGATAGTGATTCGTTTTTGCACGCGAAGCCCTCAAACTCGTGCAATAATTTGCTGCTAAAAATGACGATTTTAACGGAATTTCTTTATTCGTATTTTTCTCTGAAATAAAAGGATATTTTGCCAAAAAAAGTATCCAGTGATTTTAGCTGTAGCCTAGCCTATCTAACATTAAAATAAGAAAGAAATCGAATTTTCCACCCTTGCCGCGATGTGTTTGATTTTCACAGAGAAGCGCTCTTAAATAGGTGCCTTTGAATAATGTCAGGAACCCTGCGCTTCCAAGAAATTTTATCCTCGTTTAAAACGTGAAGTGAGCCTAAAGTACTTAAAATCAGGGATTCGATTTCGGAAACGCCGTGATGTCCAACACAAAACAGGTTCCCATTTGGATCTCCCGAGATCAAGGCTTCCAGCGAAACCAAGCCATATCGATCAGGGCCTAGTTGCTCGATAACTCTATCCAAGGGATAAATCGCTATCCAGCGGATTTTTGTTAATAAAACGTACTGCACTATTCAACGGATAGAGATTTATCCAGTGGATAGCGTTATCCACCCTTCGAACGACTGAGGCCAGGTCTTTTAACGCCCCAGGAGTTTTTTGTTTTCCCTTAATTGGAACATTAACAGCAACATTCGTGCACACATACCTTCTTCTTCAAGGAATTAAAGTTGTCAATAACAACGCCAACGAACAAATTGAGCACAAAAAATGACCCAAGGATAATAAACGCAACGAAATATATATACGCAATCATATTGCTATTCATCTGGGGCTGCTTATCAACCTGTGAAGAAGCAATGTAAACGAAAATGAGATATATTATGGTTCGAGGCTACCTATTCTCATTCTGTTTTCTCAATTGCAAACTATATTAATTTTCTGCATCCCTCTTGTTTCTTTTTCACTTTTCCGTACCTATATATTGTTAACAATCATCTACCCAAATAGAGGTAAATAGCCACCACCATTCAATGACAAATAGGGGAATAATTGTTTCAAAATACACCGCACTGAAACCAAAAATTAGTTTATTTCTGTCTATAATGAGAAATAGTCTGAAATGAAACTCTTGACGCACGATTTTGTCTCTTCGGCTGTTTGAGGGTCACTTGGTTTTGCTGATCACTTGCGAACTCGCGAATTAGTGTGCGCATAAAGCACTAATAACCTGGGTGGTATATATTACTGATTTTTTTTAAGTACTTTTAGTCAGAGTTCCACTAATTTTCGTTGACGAAAACTTTGATCGAACCAAGCAACAACCTCCTTTTTCACTTTTACTCAAAGGAAAGACCAAAAAGGAAATTCATCTTACAATAAAAACAGTCTTCAAGTACATGGGTTGTAAGAATGAAGAAATATTCTCAGAGATATTGTTTAATTGAACAGCAATTGTCAAGAGCAAAATTATGATAAATGTGTGGAGGGCAGTGCAAGGAACTGATATCTAGATTCTGAGAATGAAGCGTAAAAATTTAGTATGTTAATTTGTAGATAAATAATGGTAATAAAAAGGACTGTAGTCCAATTCGGTCTGTAATCACACGAGTGATTAACAAAATCAGACGAGCGCGAAGCGGAGTCTGATATGTTAATCACGATTATGATTACAGACCGAATTAGACGACATGAAGACCTGTTACCAATTTACCATAACCATTACTATCTCCGAAAAAAAAAATTTAAAACAAATATCTCCAGTGGAGACAATATCTAAAGTTAAAAATTCCTCTATTTTGGAAATTCTCCAGTTTTTCTTTGGATAGGTGGTTGTTGCTATGGTTATTGTGATCAATTCTATGACTGGTGGATTTAACTGAGTGGAATTAGTGCGATTGGCTGCTTCAACTTTCCGATTACAGGAGTCCGATTACAGCCAACTGTCCGATTACACTGTCCGATTACAAACATGCAAAATAATTAGTGAAAAGTAAAGCAGTTAGTGCACCAGTCGCATTTGAGGAAATTGCAATGGTTATGATACAGAAAATTAGAAGATAATTGCTTCACTAAGGTTATCTTTTTGGTTGTTGAAGTAAGAGCAAGAGATCAAATGTCGAAACAAAAACATCAAAACTGAGTCTATCTATTGAGTCACACAATGACAGTTGATACATAACAATTATCACAAGCGCTTCAAATTCAATTTAAAATTTTTCATAATTTTTAAAAAAAAGTAGGTTGTCAATCAAACATGATGTATTACCTCAGTAGAGTCGACTGCGCTGTGCATGACCTCAATCCAGCCTTCAAACGTTGCCTAAATCACAGCACAAGACGAGAAAAATTGTCAGTGATGTATGTTTGGAGATTTGCTTAACACCCCTCTTCTGTTTTAGATAAAGAAGATCTCGTAAATGTGAAAAATAATAATTTATAGCTTCAATCTGCATAATTAATATCATCTTACAATTGAGTTTTTCTGAATTTGCGTTGTGTTTCCTGCTCTTGTACAATAGAAGCACAATTCGACTAACCAACTGATATACGTTTTTAACCACTAGAAAATCCAAAAAGGGATGTTTTCTAAAATTTCCATTACACCCAATTGAGTTTGGCGACATACCACAAGAAAAAGTGCAAGGAAACCATTGAAAACGTTATCAAAATTGGCCTCGGCATTCCTCCAAGTATATTTCTCCGGAAAGCGGAGACATTCTGTTTTGTTTGGAACAACGTCAGCTGAAACTCTTTCACCAACTTGATCGACGCATTCTTGGAACTTTCCGGAGAACAGTTGGACACCAAGGATACTGAATATTAACCAGAAAAGGAGCGATACCACCAGAACGTTGCCGATACCTGGAATGGCCGCAAATAATGCGTTGATGACAACCTGAGTGCATTAAAAGGAATCGTGAATGGGTAAATTGCCGAATGCAAGCAAAAGTGAAAGGAAAACATTGGAAATGGCTGTCTAAATGAACCTTTCCGTGATGAGTTAAGACATCAAAAGCATGATCGAAGAAGTTTTCTGTAATAAACCAGGCTACTTGAACGTCAAAACATACCGCAATTTCTCATTCATGTTCACGGTTGGAGATTTTAGGCTAACATCTTTATTTCATAAGTTGCTTTTCGAAATAAGTTCACGATTGATTACGATGCAGTTCCACAAACCTATTATTTCAGGCGTCATTTTCTCCTCTTAATGGCGTCCAGGCCTTCTATCCTAGAGTTTGCAAACTTACTTTTGAAAATTCAGAGTACTCAGTTTACGTACCTTCATCCCTTCCATGCGAGATATGGCCCTGAGAGGTCGTAATGCTCGTAGCGTGCGAAGGGATCGGAAGACTGATAACTGTTTGTTCTCAGACAGACAAGCAAGCGAGATCTGCAGAAAAGTCAACGTTATTATAGCTTGTTAGGAGGTCAGGAGAACCACAACGACTGGAATAATGGCATAGTTGCGTTAAGGAACACTTTGATTTGAGCGAAACGACTTTAAAGATAAAAGGTGCTTTATGGTTGTCCTCTATATCATCCAAATAAGCCCTTTTACTCCTCACTGTTTGAAATGTGTCTCTTACAATCAATGTCGACTTGGTCAGCTCTTGAGTTCTCATTGGCTTCTCGTGTGTGTGATCCTTACCACTCACCTAAGTTTATGATTTTTAAGTTATAATAAACGCGTTCTTTCATGTCAATAGTTTAACTTACTGCGACGATAAATGCATCTAAACAATTCCATACTGAAGAGAAATACTTGACGACACCGAGACCAAAAATCTTAAGAAGGAACTCCATAGAAAAGACAGCCGCGAAGAAGTAGTTCAGAATATCTAACGCCTTTGCTAGGAGTGGCCTTTCCGGAAGGTGTATGTCCTCAAAAATCTAACGAAAGACAAAGTAGTTGATCTTTCAAGACAACTTCTAATGTCTTTTCCCGTTTTCCTGTTGTTATTTTGTAGGAGTTATAGGTCATACAATAACTAGTATCTAGTTAAGTTACATAAAATTATTGAGTATGCATGTGATCTATTGATGAGGATTGAATTCTGCTTTTTAGATCGTAGGTGCTGAAAATTAAGGCTCTCTTAGTCTTTGCTCTCTCTCAAGATTCCTGACAGATGACAAATTTACTGCGAAAATCAGTCGCAGCATTTTGATTTAACACGGGAATTCCTCTCAAGATAAGAAATTTTACTAAAATCTTAGTCTGCAAATAAATATGACTCGCTCTATCAAATTAATATTTAATGCTCAGATTACGCTTGTGTTTTTTCTTACCAGCACAAAACTACTAAACATGACGGTAAAAAGAATGAACCATTCAAAGTACTTGTGCTCCACCAGACACCTGATACTACACCGGAACTTCAGCCACCTAAAATGCAAGCGCGACGACATAGAGAACATACAACATTCAGGCAGACAGTCATCCACTTCCACAATGTACTTCTTAGGTATCCTTTTTGACGATTGATCCTCACAGGTAATTACTTGCGCCCCACCTGAAATTATTAATATTCTAAGTGTCACACGTAATAACTTGGAATCCTCATTTTTCTTAAACTGTAACATCCTGCGAAATAATAATGTCGAGCTATTTCAATACACAGACCAAAGCCTTCCAACAGACCATGAACCAAGCGTCGTAATCTTGAAAAAAGTTCTATATACTAGAACTTCTAAGTTACTTGCCTGTAATTCCTTCCTCGTATTTACTTGTCTGGCTTCTCCGCGTTGTCACGTTGCTTTCCAATAGCTGCACCTCGTACAGTTTGTATCTCTCTTTAAAAGTGGCCACAAACAACCGCGTCTTTTTAGTCTTGGTCAGTCTCTTCAAGATGCGTCTCAGCCTGGAGTTTTGTTCCTCGTCATCATCAGAGGTGCTCTCCTCTTCTTCAGAGTCAAATGCACTCAATAAAAGAGCAATGAAAAGATTGAGAACCTAAAAGGAACGTGACAGGACATGGTTTGGTCACCACAGGAAATAAAAAAGTACGGAGACCTAACTAGATCCAATCTTTTGTGTTCCAGCCACGGGAATCAATAGTAAATTAAGCCCCATTTATCTAAAAGAAAGATGAAAATGTGGCAATCCACCCGTTAGCAGCAGTAAATACAGAAGAAAGCTTGAGCAAAGGACCCCAATAATCTCTGGCCTCACTGTTTGCGTTTTGCTCTTTATTACAACGTTTCCCTATTTATTACAACTATTTTGTGATGACTTGTGATCCTTTCATTCTAATTGGCTCTCACCTTTGACATTTATTCAAAATCACACCGTTTTCAGCTTTAAATAATTTTTCCCAGCTAGTAAGACAGCTTTACTAAAACGCAACAGCCAGCCACAACAGCCAATTTCAAAGCTTGTTAAAAGAAATCAGTCAATTGCAGGAAAATGAGAGACAACTTTTGCGACTTTTTTAAACCAGCTCAATATAATGGATTAATAAAATACTTGTACAAAATAGAGGTAATAAAGTGATAATTGAACTTCGAGTTGTGCAACTTTGGTCTGAAATCATACCTTTGATTTCAAATCAAGCTCGCACCACTCGCTCGATTCTTAAAGGTGTTGTTATGCAAACCTTGGACAAATATTTTATCGGCAGTTAATATAAAAATAATGTAATTGTAGGCCATAAATACTCACAATGAAGTTACCGATGACAAATGCCGGCAAGAAGACCAGAAGGGCCAATGGACTAGTGGCTCTCATGCAGTCCCAAAGAGGCTCAATCCACTCCCCACACAGCACTCTGAACACCATCATGAAGGCGTGCCAAAAATCATTGAAGTTCCAGCGCGGTATTCCATAATTGCCAAACTTGTCTTCCGTGTATGCGTCACCAAATACTCTCATTCCTACTACAGCAAATATGTAGATGATGACACCAAGAATGAGAGTTATGTTCCCAACAGGTCCCACGCTCTTGGTTATGGCAGAGACAAGTTTGTTCATTGTCTTCCATGACTGTGCAAGATTTAGAACTCGGAACTAGAAATATTGAATGAAAGATGATTGATATCGCTACGTTTGGTTAAAATCGACGTAAAAATTTAAACGAGAAGGCTCTGTACGGTTATAAAAAAAATCTGATAGTTCCAAATTCTCGAACGCAGGAATCATTAGGCAGCTTTAATTTAAAGCCGAGACAAACCTTAATAGCTAATTTTCTCTACTCATAACTTTTTGATGATTTGAAGACCTTTACCTGTAATCTGTTTATTAAAAAAAATATTAGTATTGTCTATTTGAATAGTGTATTTTGATCGCCCGGGTGAGTATAGTCCTGAGAAGGACTGCCGTCGGTGGTGGTGACTGATGTTTAGACAACCTAAGTGGAAATCATCATCAGAGTCAAGTGAATAGTTGTTGCCAGTCGAATTTTCTAAGTCCGGTTCGTATAAACCTTTTTTGGTAAGTTTTGCCGTGATATTATTGGCTGTAAGACTCAAGTGGCGTGGATCGGTCGTGATTGGTCGGTCTCGATCCGTCGGTGAAGTTAGGTCGTTCTATTTGGATCAAACCACGCTATTATATGTTACCTCCGGGTTCAACCATTTACCGTAATTATAAATATTGCTAAAATGTTGCGTCAGTCTGGTTTGTTATTTACAAGGTATGTCTGTAAACTTTTAGAGGAAACTTCAATTTGTTTTTTTTTCTCAGTGGCAACGTACCAGTCTTAGGCTTCGAAAGATACTAAAGCTTCCACCAGACTCCGTAAGATACCCAGCAACACTAGCAATCACTATGACGGCGTCAAATATGTTCCACCGGCTCTTCACGTAGGTCAGCGGGCCAAAGGCGATAAGCTTCCATATCATCTCCACTACAAATATTATCGTGAAGACCTGTAAAAAAAGTTTAAGGTGACAAAAAAGAGATGAGAGAATCTGAGAAGCAGTTCCTTGAAGTCTATTCAAGCAAGCCAGATTTTTTGTCTCACGTCCTAAAATCCCGGTAGAAACATGGTAATATCGGAGCTGTTGCTCATTAATAAGAGTCCATGAAAATAAAGCGCTCAGAGACCCTGTTTGACATCCTCAATTGACAAAAACGATATCGAATGCACAACATATGCACCCCCTAAATCGATCATTGCACGTTTCAAATATCTCCACATACTTGAGTTTTTTTCATTTGTGTGCTAATTTAGAGAAAAAAGGTGATCTATGTTAGGTATATATCAAACTGGACATAGGCTACAGGCTGGAAATTTCACATGCTTTCTTTGGCAGAGGCAAACATGAAATATTAATCTAAACAGCAATTACAAAGGTTTTCCTACCATGTTGCACAGGTCCAAGACATTTTCGAATGACTTTTCAATTCCGTAATGATAAAGAGCAAGTACAATGGTATTCAACAAGATTATTCCTATAATGACAACGTCAAAAGTGGCACACTCAGCGGCAGCACGCATTCTCTTTCTCATGGGCTTGAAAAAGGGAAACTTGCTAAACAAATTATCACAGTTTGTCTTCACATGTTGGAAGAATTTCATCAGTGTTTTCGCTAAGCTTAGCCTTTTTCTCGCATCTCCTCGATGAACCTCTGGAACTTCTGTCACGATACAAGCGGCCTGAGTTAATTCTGCTATAGCTTTCGTGGTCTTTCCCAATTTCTTCAGTGGCTTAAGAAACTTAACTGAATCAGGATCTGCAATGTAGGACGAGGCAGTCTTCTTTAGAAGCTCCTTGCGCCTTTCCTATCAAAAGAAATGGAAGGTCCTACCTAGATTATCGTTTCAAGTCGTTTTAAAGATAGCTTCTTAAGGGAGCTCCATGGAAATTATCAAGTCATTGGAAAAGCAGAGAATTCTTCATTTCCTGTCTTCGCCATACGACACTTTTATTACAACAATAAATGCTGCAGGGGTTCGGTCGTAAGAATGTGCAGGGACTTTTACCTCAGAGTAACAAGTACTTCTATGAGGGTTATGAATGGCAGTCTGTGAGTTTGCCTCCAAGACCAATGACTTCTAAAGAATGTACGATGAAATTATAGTTTTTAAGCTGAAACGTTTCCTGTGATGAAATGAACATAAACCGATAATGATCATACATTTTCATTTAGGATATATCTTTTTTTTGTCATCAGCTTCCATCCCCTGCCTATTTGTGACCATTTTTTTCATTTTTGCCTGCAGTTGTTCTTACCTCGTGTTGAAGAGATTGCAGCTCTTTCTCGTAAGAGAGATAAACTACAGCTAAGACAAGATTGAGGAGATAGAACGAGCAGAAGAAAATTGTGATCACAAAGTAGAAGACATACCAGATACCCACGGCTCTTACAACCTGTCGTTAACGGACAGAAATATGAATTACGTAAACGCAAAGTAACTGTAATGCATACAATTGTATTATGCGCTTCTAAACAGAGTTTTCATGTCAAAATGTTCCTAGGAGAGCATTCTTCAGAGCACACGCGATAAAAAGACAGAAATTAATGATGACTTTCGTTTACCAAAAGGTTATAATTATAAATCAGTTAAATCACAAATTTACTTCTCTTTCCTGATATTGGTATTATCAATTCCAAATTCAGGATTACCTTGTTGTAAAGATTTTCCCAGTAATCCATTGTGAGGATCTGGAACGCCATTAATAATGCCCAGCCAATGTGATCGAAGCCAGTAAAACCATAATCAGGGTTGGGCCCAGCGTCCGCCATACAAGTGTAATTGACAGGACAAGAACTGAAAACAATTAATTCATGCGCTCATCTCATTTCAGAATACACATCAGTCGCCCCGTGTTTTCTCTTCTTATATATTTGTATTTATTTGTTGTAGTTGTGGTTATTAAGTTGTTTTCACTTTTTCTTTCCTTTTTTCTCACATCGTTTTGGTTTGAAAATGAATTAAATACACCCAAGAAAGGATAATGGTAAAGGATAACGCCTGAAACAAGTCAAAAGACAGGACCAAATATTGAAATCTTTACTTTATCAAAAGTAATGTTTCTGTATCGAATAAATGCAAGAATTATCTCGCGGTGCGGGTGTAGAGATGGCGAGTTGGTGATGTTCTATGTTTGGTAAAACAGCTGAGCTTGCATAGTATTACCACTAATATAAAAGGCAAAAATAACTGTCGCATTTGCAGTCCCCACCCTGCTTACCCTGCCCAAGAGGAGTTTCCGCAAACAACAGGTTCACCATTTCGCATTAGCCAGGTACCTGCAAAGAACCGATAATTAAGCGTCTTCACTATCAATTCAGCCTTATTCGACCACTCCCGGCGTGACTAGGACGGATGAACATATAAACAACGGAGTTGATCAATGAAGGTTTTAAAATGTACGCGAAAATTATGTCTTCATTTTCAAGTAACATGTAACCATTTCCCTTTGACCCTCAAAATTGCATAATTACAAAGTGAATTGGTTTTACTAATTGCGCTGAGGGAGAGATTCAGCTGCTAAGTCAGGTTGATCTTACAGGGGTCTTTATCATTTCTTACTTTCATTTTGAATATATCCTCCTATGTCTTCTGTAAAGTTCTCCGGAGGGTCAAGAACACATTTATTCCTCAATTCTCCAACAAACAGCTGCAGACCGATTAGCGCCATGACAGCGAGAAAGAACAGAAACAGAACCAGAACGTCACTTAAAAGCTTCAACGAACGGAGTAAGGTGTTCACCATCGCTCGGAGACCTGTAGTAATTAAGTTTATAATTCTTAAATGATTGAACTACTTGAATCAACCTTTAGTGAAAAGGTATGGGATAATGGCCACAACCCATAACGGTGCTTTTACTTACAGGCTTAAGTTTTACAATAACGAGTGTTGAGAAAACTGTCAACTTCGATCCGGTGATACAGTCAGATTCTAAAAGAATAGTGCAACTTTGACAAAAGCGAATGGCTTCTGCACCCACCTGACACAACTGATATTGTCCTTAAAGCCCGCAGGACACGGACTGTTCGTATTGCCGTGAAGTTTGCGATATTTGGAGCCATCGTGATGTATCTGAAGCCGAAATTGTAGGGAGAAATGAAAATATGCATAAACGAAGGGTCCAGGGAATGACTGCTCTTCAGATATGCATTTGAAACTCAGCTGGTACATTTGAAGAGGCGCGGATGAATATGACACTCTAATGTTGAAATTCAATGATCTCAAAGAAAATTTCACGTGTTGATGCACTAGTTATAACTATTGCTTTGCTAGTCGTGAATTAAACCGATGTGTATTATTCTGCTTGTTCCCACCGAACGCAGACCTTCTTAAAATCTGAAATCAAGAGCCAGTGGGGCTGCACGTTTATGTGAACGATCCACAGTAATCCGTGTATTGTCATGAAAGAGTTACCTACAATGATATAATATAATTTTTGGAAGGGTATTCACCTCTCTCCTTTCTACAACGACACGTGTGCAACAGCTAAACTCACCCTAAAACAACTACTATGAAATCAAGCCAGTTCCAAGGATCTCTAAGGTAGGCGTACGTGTGAAGTATAAGTCCACGTGATATGATCTTCAATAGCATTTCGAGAGTGTATATTGCAGTGAACACGTACCTAAAATCGACATTCCAAAAGACTCTGTCAAGTTGAATCAAAGCTATCGCAAAGATAATGAAACGGGTGGAAGAGATGTTATGATGAAAAATAGGACTATCCGAAACAAAATAATGGACATCAACCATTCTTTTTTGCTCTAATGTAATATCGAAGATACATTAAAAGTTGGAGGATTATCTTCTTTTGGTAACCCATATAGCTTAATCCTTTCATACAGTCGAAGCTCTGGGGAGAGGCTTGACTATGAGCAGACTCGCAAATTCTAAATGGGAACGAAGGCCAATATAAATTAGAAACCCATTTGCAGCCTAACTGGGTTCACCTTTCAGATGTTTTTGAACCCAACTGGCTCTAATAACTAGCGATAAAAATGATTACTTACTCAGCTTCCTCAGGAGGGTCTTTTAGCGCAAGGAACACGCAATTTACCAAAATCACCAGAATGATAATCACTTCAAAATATCTTGCATGAAGTAATCAAGAAAAAACCACAGATCCTATATAATATCTTGGATACAAGCATTTTCGAATGACATACAAACAGAAGAGGTACTTTAAAACGTATCCGTCACCATCTCATTAAAATCATTATTTTTCTCCAATGGAGTTATAGCTCATGCACGGTAGTATCCCAAAGGAAGCCTGAGGCTCCGTTTAACTCGCTGAATATGCATGCAAAGGATACTGATTGGTAACCACACTTATAGTCCACCTTCTAAGAGGGTGTAAAGGTCCAAAGAGCCACAAAGATCGCGCTCTGTTGAACCTGAACATGTGATGCCCAATCGATGTTGTACCATACTGACGTAACACAAGAAAGGTATCATCAGCCGGAACCTGTATGAGATAAAATAAACTCTTCTGTCTCTTCTGTATGATTTCTCACACCATGTTAAGTCATGAATTAACAATGGCTGTACATACATTCTTTCCAGTGACATCGTAGTCCTCTAAAGGCATGTTTAAGAAATGACCTGGATCAATTGGGGCCGACGGCATGGATTCTTCAGAACCATCCCCTTTTTCTAACTCCAAGGTCTGAGGGTCTGCTTCGTTGGTGGCCAAAGCCTGTACCTGTGCGAGATCTCCCAAGCTAGCGAAGGTCACAACCTTCTTTCGTCTTCGTGGGCTAACTTTTAGTATTTCATCGGGATTAGCTACATCAAGAGCAGATTTCTGTTCGTCCTCTTCATCTCGTGTCATCTTGTTGGACTGCGGGGCACCAACTAAAGGCATCAGACCAGTGCCTGGATAGAAGTGTTAAAGAAGGATGAGCGACGAAGGTGAAAAATAATTGGATGTTAAGGTTTAGTAAATTTAAATTTTAGATTTCCAGGTATGTACGGCAGTATGGCTTTCTGTCTACTTGTTGATGTATTGTGTCACCAAATCGACTCATATACTGCATTAACATTTATAGTCAATAGCTTACGGAAATAGCATTCATGAATAAGCTTTCTGTCAACATGTTTTTATTAAATGATTTTTGAGAGCCTCGATCAATTATTTGTTGTTCCGAAATTTATTTCTAAGAGACGGAGGAACGGGTGGCAAGTTCGGAAATCCAACAATGTATTTCATTGTCTGGGAAACTTTCGAGGAGAATGGATCTAATTTTTCTTGTTTTTGGTTTTTTTTTTTTACAGCAAGGTCACTTTATTTTAATTATTCAAATTTAAGCATGATCATCCTCCTCTCCATGGGCATAACTACATAAGATTATTTTTATTGGTAACTGAATTGCTTGATCGATGGCAAATTATGATTTATTTTAAATCAGAGTGAAGATTTGTCTGTTGAGTTTTCCAGTACCTATTGATGCGATCGATTCGTCGCATTCGTCCTCTTGAGAATTCCTGTTTTCTTTTTTTGTGACAGCCTCCCATTAATAATCCAGAATTTGAATCTTGTTCATAGATTTAAGACAATTATGAGACGCGTTTCCCATATCTCTAGTCAAAACAGAATTCAAAAGAATATTCTAAGAATTCCGGAAACTTAACCAGAAGAGGTCAATGCTCAAATTATAAATTTCAATTTCTTTATTATAGTAGGTAACCTGGAGAGAGTTGAGCTACATTATTAAGCAAACGTGACAGGAGATCAAGAAATATTCAAAAATTATCATGGAGTTCAAATTTCGTCACTTTAAAAATCTGGTGTAAAAACTGTACCGTTATATTTGTGATGAAAATGGTGGGAATTTCTGTTTAAAACTGGCTCTTGAATCACATCACTGATAGGAAAGATTTCATAAAGTTATAAGCAAAGAGTATTGTTGTACTTCGAAACACGATACTTCGCAAAGGAAGAAAACTTTAGCGATTCTGCAACTTCAATGGTGGAAGTGGTCAGTGAAGGTCAGGAAATCAAGGTAAACTGGGTAAAGTTTTGTCACCGTGTTCGAAAATTTGAATATGCGAGTATGACGACACATTGATGTAGGCACAATTTCTTTTATCGAGAGTTAAATCGCGGCAGTTTAGCGGTTGATTGACGCATGTTTTGTATGGAGTATAAAGCCTGCATTTTTAAAAAATAAGATGCTCCTTGGAGAACAACCGCTAAGGATAAATGGAAACTTTGATAGATGTAGCAATTTCATTTGCTATTTCTAAAGGAAATCAGAACATCGGCGAAATTAAAACTGTTGTTGAAATACTTTGCAGACGCACAAATTATTATTCAAGATCTTGTATAATTGCAAGTCTTTGTTTTGAAATCTTTCAAGACGGTAGGAAATAAGAATGTATCATTTTACAAATGACTGTTTTGAAATCAAAACTGATGTACGGCCGTGTTCAATACATGAATCAATTGACCAAAGCAGCAGAAGCGTGCAATAAATCAGTTTATTCGGTTGATCTCAAAAATGTTCATGGCATTTTCCAAAGCAACTTCCCGAAAAAAAGGTAATGTTCAATGTTTGAGTGTTAGACAAACATTTAGAAGAGGTTTAAAGCATTTAAGGAAAAATGTAATAGGAGTAAGGCCATAATTGTTCGTCAAAGATGATATGAATGAAATAGAGGATTTCCTCTTGTTTCAAGCATAATTTTTTTATTCTGATTTTATCTTAAACTGACGCAATGAATGTATCAGTCGTATCCTTTACATGTGAAGATGACTATATTGAAGTGGTATTTGACCTTCAACGAAGGACTTTTTTATGTTACCAACATTACCTAGCTTGAGAGATAAAAGAATACTTAGGGAAGTTGATTTTGGCCATGCTTTCGTAGATAAGTTCTTTCAAACTGCCTTTAATTTATGGCAATGTGAATTGCTATGTATTCTTTACTTTAGTAACGTGTTAAGATAAAGAGAATATCGCATGTCATGAGGTATGTTTATTTTAAAATGTCTTCTGTAATAACCTTTGAATGTTTTCCTTCAGTAGCATTTTAGATTAAAAAAATGGCAAATATTCAATGAGGCCTTAAACTTCTGTAAAATTGACGTTAAAATACTTTAAAATTCCACGGCATGCCGTGGATTTTCACTATTGTAAGTCTTTTGTAAGAATTTTCCACCTTAAGTTACCCGACCGCTCACTGAATACTCTATTGCGTCTTCACTCACGGAAAATTCTACAACTAAAATATAGGAAACGAGAGAAGTCACATTGGAAGACCCATTGTAGCGTCCTAGCCTCAGTGATGGTCTAAGCGCTTTGGTCTAGTGCAAAGAATTATCAAAAAATCTCGTTAAAATCTAAAGATCTTGAGTTAGTCCCACACTTTGTCACGTGTTTACTTTAAACCCATCGTAGCGCTAATTAATTATATTTATAGACCGAAGCGAATTATGCATATCTGCACGTACAGTGTAAGGATGGAATTGGAGTCAATCAACAGTCTAAGACCCCGAATTAATTCCACCCTTCCTTCCTTTCTTATTTGTCCAGAAAAACATATTGACCTTGAACAATACTTGAGTGTCAAAAAAACGTTTTCAGCTGGCAAAAGAGGCAACTTTCAGCGTTGGAAGAATTGTTTAAATTATTTCGGGTATCGTAACGTATGAAAAAAGTAATGGAAACGTAAACTGCTCGTTTTCTTTCGACAGCAAAATAAAGATATACATCTTTTCCCAAAAGAAGGAAACAATTTATTATATTTCTAGATGGAGACCGCCACGCCATCTAAATTTTCTTTATCCTTGCGAACTTACTTATCTATTATGCCGACATAGTAGAAAATCCTATCCAGTTTCACGCCAAGATCTTTTGATTCCACAAGTTATTTCGATTCATAACGTTTGTTGCGGGGTCTTTTTGTGCCTTGCGACTTGCGTGATGATTTCTTGGCTACAGGCCTGAGTTATCACACTGATAATAAAAGGCCCTTACGTGCAAAGCACTGTTAAGGTTAATTAACGATGTAAATAAACACCTGACCTGAGTAACATGTAATTTAGTTCACTCCTTTGTAAAGACCACAAGCTCGATAATTTTTCAGCTCGCTAGATAGCAAAAAGGAACATTGGCGGTATTAGGCAAACTTATTTGGCAGGATGCATGCTGTCAACCCTTCCCTTCCTCAACCTCTCCCCCTTCTTTTTCTTTCGTAAATTTTCATTCAGATTTCTTTTTAAGCGAGCAAATAATACGTCAACCATTTAGCATTACGACTAATTTCTTTTGCTGCATGCTGACAAACCCATTTTAAACTCTGGTATTAAGAATTCATAGCGACCCAGAGCCATTAATTATGTTGTAACAACAAGAGATTCCGAAAATACGAGAAATACGAAAGAAATTTGGAAAAGTGTAATTTTGTTAAGTGGTCTGCATGAAGAGAAATCTCTCTCGTCATTTAAGGTGCCCTTATGATAAAGTCTAACCTACAAAAGAAACAACACGTGATTTATTACGCTGATATTGTCATATGATTCTTAACCAATCAGAGTATGAGAAGAATCCGATCTAAACTAAGAAATTATGAAAAGATTTTAAACTATGTTTTGAAACAGAGATACCAGTCATTTACTGTACATAGTGACAGAGCTTATGCAAGATTTTATTCAAGTGATAAGCAAACAGTAGGCTTATATCAAATCACACAGAATATTTAATAGGCATGACTGGATGTGAATTCCAAATTACTGTTGACCTATAACCCTCGAAGATCGGTTTGGCATCCCTTAAGTTGTGTATTTACCATGGCCGTAAATCAAGTCGTTTTTCGCCACCTTGATTTAGGTGAAGCGGTTTTATCGCAAAAATGAAAACGTTCGCCAGAAAGGAGAAGCAGTCGGCCTCTTAAAATGTGTCGTTTCACCTAATAAACGCAGTGTTATTGTTTGTTGAGCAGGTGATACAAGGGTTATTAACTTCCTCTGTATAGTGTTATGGTTATTAATCGTTTGCTCGAATGCATCAGGATTTATTTGCAAAGATCACCGATTCCCACACTCTTAGTTATCGTTAGTCACTTCCAGATTTTTACACCAATAAAGGCAAAAAGAAGTCCATCTTACTTTTAAGAGCAAATAGGTTCTGAAATTTGGCAGTCATTTTGAAATACATGCGTCAAAAAACTTTTCGTGCTTAAAATTGTTTTCGATAAGTATTACACCTCGAGCAAAACGCGATGACAACAATGAAAGGACGAGATAAAATAGAGAAGAAAAAGGAGAGAGATTTGCAGCTCAAAATTCTATGATATGGTATTCGCTCCCAGCATGACGGTTCATTAATCAGTGACATGTTCTCGAAAAGACACCGAGTCATTACACTCCCCAGAAAATGTTTCCTGGAGGCCTTGTAAGTTTTGACAATTTTACAGATACTTAATATCTCAGGAGTAGGGCACAAATGAGGCACTTCCTTAAATCTCAATAAAGTCAGACTCGAATAAAAGAGAAAGTCGAGCAAACAATTTTCATGTCATCTAAAATTTGTTTAAGAGAAAGTATATCCTTAGCGACATTGTGTCACGTGCAAATTTACCCCCGAAAGCGTAGAAAGCTTATTCATTAATCGTTTAACTTTAGGAATAAATAACTTCAATGCTTTTTCGGATTGACAAAGATTTCAGCTGAGACCTAACAGGTTTTTGTTTTGTTTTTGTTCCTTTTTCGCAGCAAAAGACAAAGCTTTTTGAAATATGCAAAGTTTTTTTTTTGTTTTGCTTTCTCGACAATATGAGGAAAATCCCTTTCTTATTAAAGGTACTCAATCCGCCCGCCTTACCTAAATCATTCATGCGCTGCCCTAGAGGTTTACGTAGATG